AAAAAAATTAATTTTGGGCGGGACGAAGTTCGCTGGGTCTGCTAGTTTAATAATACAAATGAATTATCAAAAGACGAGTATCAATCGAAAGGGGTTCGAAAATGCCTTTTTTTTAGCGGTACAGAGTGACTTAAATTTTCATGAAAGGAAAAACCGACACCATGCGAAACTTCCCTTCGCTCATAAACGGCTGGCGGGATTTAGGTGAAATTTGGCACACGGATTGCTCATAACTCTTACTAAGATTTAACATATTTTAAAGGTTTCCCAGTTTTGGCGTTTTAACGCCATGCGAGTTCACTAGTAGTCGTTAATTTTAGTTTTGTTTTTATGAATATAAAATATTATTTAAGATTTATTCTTTGCTTAGAAAATAAAAATTAAAATAAAAGCGAACGAAGACGAATGCAAATGCGAACACGAATATAACACTGTCAGCATTTTCTTCCATATAAAGTATACTCGACGTTTTTTTTTTTAGAGGAAAATGAGCAACAGTTTCAACAAAAAAAAATTGCCAAAAATCCACTACAAATCCAAGCTATTTCAAACTTGCATTTATAATAATAAAATCAAAATCTAGTTAAAAAGCTTTGCATTTTTTAAATTCATTTTTTAAATATTCCTCAGCGTTTGAAAATTAGATTTATACGGTTTTTATTTAAGAATAAACTATATTTTTATAAAAAAATAACTAAAATTAAATAGAAAAATAAATTAAATTATTAAAACTTGTCAACATAGGGTGCGTTTATAATTTTTCAACGGGTTTTTTATAAATTACATTTATTTAAAAATTATCAATTAATTAACTAAATATGATTTTGGATGCTCATGATTTTTTTTCCTAAAATGGAAGGTTCTTATATTTTTTTACATTACGTTATTTTATAATCTGTTCGGTAGGAAGTACCTACAGTGCCGAACAGAAGTATTGGCACAGTGAATTTTTCGCAATATATGCAATGTTTTTTATTCTAATTTATTTCCGATAATTTTTTATAAAAATATTGTTCATTCTACACCAGAAAACATAATAATAAAATCTCTAAACTTTGTGCAAAACTTAAGAAAATTTATTAAATTTGCACACTAATTTGCAACTTTTTATTCAGATTTTTTAGAAAAATTCTAAGTATGCAGTTTTATAGCCCATTCAAATTTAGTATAACAAAGTGCAAGTTTGAAGTCGCTAGAAAATCGTATTGATTTTTGGTAGTTTTTTTTCGCGCAAGTTCTTCCATACAAAGTAATTCGACAATTATTATAATAATTAAATATAATAAAAGGAATAAAAAGTTGCAAATTAGTGTGCAAATTTAATAAATTTTCCTGAGTTTTACACAAAGTTTAGAGATTTTATTATTATGTTTTCTGGTGTAGAATGAACAATATTTTTATAAAAAATTATCGGAAATAAATTAGAATAAAGAACTTTGCATATATTGCGAAAAATTCACTGTGCCAATACTTCTGTTCGGCACTGTACATAAAAAGAACTTAAGAATACTGCCATTACCTGACGGTCAAAAGTTATTTTTTTATAAACATATGGTTCATGCTTTATGAAAAACCATATAAAACACACTTTCAAACTTTATACAGAATTTAGGAAAATTCCACATACAACTTTTTCGTTGTCCAGGGAGAGTAGACCTAAACCGAGCAAAGAAGTGGCGAGCCTACTAACGCTGCGTTAGTAACGCAATGCTTGGATATACATATATGCAGTTTAATTCATAAAAGGATATTTATGTAGAAATTTAGACCGAAAATACAAATACAATTTTACGGCTCCCAGCTTTCGGTTTTAATTGAAAATACTCGCTTTTTGTACTAACTGAATTTTTAATTTACGGAGACCTACTCGTATTTGCATACATACATAAATACATCCCTAGATATGTACAAACATATGTACTATATGTGTGAATCTGTTATATACGCTTGTGAAAGCCGTAAACATACCTCTCTTCAAGACCAGGCGTTCAAGAAGATACTTTAGTTTGCACAAAATCTGTTGATATATACATACGTAAGTAAATATTTATTGGTATGCATGTTTGTAGGTCTACAAGCTCAATAACTGAGCGCAAATAGCTAAATGTGACTCAAACCGGTTTTACACTGTAACGAAAATGCCCTCGCAAGTATATACTCACAAATAAATTTGAGAAAAAATATCAACAGGTAGTCCAGGTAAACGTTTCTACAGTTGTATAGATTTTTGTGCACATGAATAAATGTTTATGTGCGTGTACATGCATGCATACATAGCCTGCAGTAAAATTTAGAGACACCCAGCAGAAAAAAATTATCAATTGATAAAAAATAACCCAGTTGTAGTTAGCTTTTTTGCGGGATTTCTATAAAATATATAACCCGTAGTTAGCTACAAAAAGCTAACTTGAAACTAGTTGACAAGTAATGCAGGAGTAATGAAGCAGATTGTTTTCTTTAAACGCATTTCTATTTAAATATCCTGCACTTCGCAAATACTTTTTCGAATTGAGGACAAATAAAAGGAAGATCGAAATTTCATATTATCATTTTGAAGTTATGTCTGACGGAGTTGGAATATGGGACCACCTACAGGAGAATATGTAAACAAATATGAAATGTAATAAAATAAATAAAGTAAATAAAAATAAAAAAATAAAAATAAAATATAAAAAAAATATTTTGTTTTTCCTATTGATATTTTATGTCCAAAAGTAGCTAGTTACAAGTTAGTTACATCAAATGCAGAGGTAACCACCCTTGACTACATCTAATGCAGAGGTAACCACCCTTGACTATTTCGCGGCCATCGCCATACAAATATAGTTAGCTTTCGTCAAAAAATATATACAGATAATAAGTGACTTTTAGCTCCTTCCTAATCATCTTAAAGTTAGCTTATAGTTAGATCCATTTTCTGCAGGGCAGTCTGACAAAGCGCTAGTTCCGAACTACATATATCATAACTGTCTCTGAACTAGTGCAAAACGGATGCAGAGCGGGACAGTTGAAACTTGCGGTATAAATGTGCAAATGCTCACTACTGGTACAATACGAAAGTAGCTCAGCGAGAAGAGCTCCGACTCAAGTTCAAATCGCGGTGGATACAGTTGTGAGTTTACAAATTTAATGACAATAATTTATATATTTTTTTTTTATAAAATATGCACAAAAATGGAATCTGTAACAGAAAAGAAAAAACTAAAAAATATCCAAAAATGGAATCTTAAAAACGGGTTCTTATAAAAAAAACTGTCGAAAAAGGAACCGGTTGAAAACTAGTTGCAAAGTAATGCACTGGGCGACAATTGCCACCGCCAATGACATCGCCGTGTAAAACTGGACAGTTGAAAGCATTGCTTGGGTATTGCGCTAGAACTAGTAGAACTGTCGGCAAAAGGTCTAGTTCTACGCTAGTTCTGAGATAGTCGGATTTTCTGCAGGGTATGTACGCCCATTTCATCATACATACACACCTACTAGAGATGTTAATTTTTCGCTTTTTACGATCCCTGGATCCCGGGATTAAGATATTCATTACTTTTCAACAACTTCAATCGAAAAAACTGCTTCTATCTCTCCTACCGTAAAATAAATAATAAATAAATGGGTTTGAAATCTACTTTTTTATTTAAAGTGGCGTTTAGTTTTTCTCTCTGATGCCGGGATTTATTTTAAAGGTCTTTGATATTTCAAAGAAATGATTAATTCCAAAAATTATTTAAAAAATTCAATGCAATGTAAAATAAAAATATGGGTACCAAATAAAACAGGAAATTTCTTTAGAATTTAAAAAATTTAAATTTTTTGGATTCACAAGGACGACTAGGTAATTTTTTAAGCTGATAAAGTAAGAAGTACGAAATTCGAGGATATAATTTTTCAAAAACCAATTTTGCAAAATTTCAAGGATAAGATATTATAAGGGCATTTTCAATACTAAAATTACCAGTCCTTATGCACCAAAAAAATTGAATCTGATTGAATTCTACAGAATTTCCTCTTTAAAGTGATACCCATACTACTTCTCTAAGCACATTTTACTGAATTTTTTAAATCATTTCTGAATTACTGACGCCAGAGTGAAAAACTAAAAACGCAATTTTACTATATTTAATCGATGGTTTCGAGAAAATATTGATTTTTGTGTGTAAAATTTACTATCGAACAGTGTTGTAGTTATGTATAATGAGCTAGACATTTATGAAAAAATATTAATTATTAAATAAAAAAAATGAAATATAGCCAATACTGGTCAAGAAAAGGAGTTTCTATTATTGCCATCAGTGCAAATTACAAATCCCGAAAATCTCGGCATTATTTGCCAGGAATCCCGGGATTTTCGGGACCTAAAAGGCCGGGGTCCCGGCATCCCTGGATTAACATTCCTAATACCTACTTATGCATATTTTATACCTAAACAAGTGTTCGCTTTAAGCATTCGTTGTGCAATCCCATAACTACATTCATACACATATGTATGGATGTATGTACAAGTCGCATTCCATTGGCACTAATACCATTGAACAGCTTTTACTAGCGTAGTACGCTATTCGAGTAAAGCTATGGAGAAAATTAAGCTATGACCATAAAGTACACCTTGTAGAAAGTTTAAACTTTGTAGCAAATAATGATTTCCTTAGAAATTTTTAACCGAATCTCTTTTTTGGATTCAAAATATTAAATTATTCATGTCGTAGTATAAGTCCCCATTAACTTTTCTCACCTGGATACTACTCCGTTTGACTTCATAATATAACCAGTTATCTGTAGAAAATGCTATCGCTAACAAGGCAGTTGCAATTATGGCGGAAATTGTGGCGATAGAAAGTGTGACTGCTGAGCACGGCATCTTGAGCCTTCGTAAGATTATAATTATATAAAATATTTTATGCTTCGTTTGCCTAAAAACTCCACTGCTGTTCCTTTATAAATTATTATTATTGCTTTAATGATATTTATTTAGCTCCCCATTAGATTACACTTTATTCAAGATGTCAGAGTTGATACTAACATCTAAAGACGTTTGTAAGCCCGATGACAATGCCTGGCGTAAATCTGGATTTAGTTTCACTCAGAGTTGGCTAATATTTGAGCTAAACTACTTCGAATTGAAACTCAAGAAAGAGAAAAATAATAATGGTAAAAGAGATTTTTAAACTGAGAGGAATGTGGAAGACTACATACATATATACATACATATGTACACATGCATGCATTGTACGTCTGCAAATGTACATAAGCAAATATGTACATATCGTCACCTAAAACGTTACGTCTTTTTGCATGTCAGGTGACGATATGTAAGTTTCAGTTAAAATTTCTGCATTATCATCACTTGTTTCACTACATCCGAAATGTGGATTTCGTTTACGAAGACGAAGCGAACATGCGGTACGAAATAGTGATGTAAAAATACGTAAAATTTTACCTACTCTCAGACTTCTAATTTGAACATATCCCCGGTACAAGCAGGTGGGATGAATGGCGCAATAAACAGGGGAAGTAATAAACAGCTTTCTCGCTTTGTTTTCTGACATTCGGCTGTCTTATAATCACATTTTATAGGCATGTTTTCAAATAAGGTAGTGTCAAAATATTTCTTCTCACTCTAATATTACTTCACCTGGTATAATTCCACCATGGGTGGGGTGCATGCAATAACACCATACGCAGTAATTCCCATTACTTGGACATTAAAAAGCAGTTTCAGAAGTGAACTAGTGTAATTTTATTATTCTTCTTTTTTCTAAACGGTCATAATGGCAGCAGTGCATAATTGCGAAAGAAGGGAGGGGCGGGGGACGCGAGCGCGACGTCGAACGCGGCGCGGGGTGGCGCGGGGCGGCGCGACGCTGGGTACTTTCAAAATTGTATACTTACAAATCCGTCCATTTAACTTGTTCATGTACTACTTTTTGTCAAATGTAACTATTTTGCTTTATTGCTCAAATTGTTAAGTTTAAAAGTTGGTCTTATTGCTCAACGAGAAATGAAATTAAGCAAATTTGTGTTATTTCACATTCAATTGGGAAATAACACAAATTTGCGTTATTGCCGTTTGTGTTATTTCACTCCCCCCCCCCCCCCCCTCAACTTAACCCAAAAGGGAAAAATTTTTGTTTTTGTGTTTTCTTTTTCAGATGTTTGACACTTTGCAGCCTAAAAGGCCACCTCAAAAAAATGCGTACAAAAAATATATTTGCGTTCATTTATTTTTGAGAAATGCAAAAACGAAAATCTGGAAAGCCTGATTCTTTCACCGCTCTCAATTTCCGTAAGGCCGTAGCTTAAGAATCTAAAACCTACAGGTTCTAAAGTTTCTTACGGTAAGTTAAGTTTCAACTAACCGCCAACCCAGTTTCTCATATAAAAGGTTGGCCAAAATATTAAGTTAAACTAAGTTACGAAAATTAAGTCTAGACTAACTGAGCTTTTATGCATACTTGGCATTGCATGAGAGTTGTCAAATAAGGAATTTGTTAAGTGAGCATTGCGGGAAGCGGTTCAAACGCACAGTATTACATATGTAGAAGTATGTTGGTTTTTGATTTCTACGTAAAAGTGACATGCTATGCAGTGCAGTGCAAAGTATGCATAACTGAGCTATGAAAGTAAATGCAAAACACATTTAAAATAAGTTTTTTTTTTTAATTTAACGTCAGTTTCCCGAAAGAAATTATTATTTTAAAATTAAAATTATTATTTTAAGTTTCACCCTTCAATTAAATTTTTTTAAATGTGCATGGCAATCGATTTAAATACTTGGTTCCACTACTCCATGACGTAGTTAGTCTGTTCCAATCAGGGTTTAAATTGCTGACTACAAAATAGCATGAGCAACGTTTTTCTGCTTTTTAAAGCAAGCAACTCTTCGTCATTTTCAATACGTTTGCAATTGCTTAGCTGCGACTATAAAAAATAAATCAGAGAAAGCAGACAGCAAAAGCGAAAAATAGATTTGAAATCAATTGCTTTTGCTTACAGCGCAGTTTGTTTTTGGTTAGACAGTCAGCCGAAGCAACCAGTTTAGAAAAATTGCTGTTCCTGCAAGTATAAGCATCAACAAAATGCAAAATCGCGTATGTGAGGTTGATAAATTATTTTCTAGAGAGTAAAAACACTCATATTTCAAAATGGTTTTCTTTTTTTATAAAGCAATCGCATTTCTGGCTAGCATATTTCAGGACGAATGGGAAAGGATTGAGCCAAGAGCTTTTGTGAGCAAATCCAATTTTTGGCAGCGAATGTTAATTACGCGGTTTCGTAGAACAACGATACACGGTTTTGTACTTTAAATGACGATATGTTTGTACTGTACATTGTACATACATACAGTATATGTGGGGCGTTCCACACAATAATTTTAGTTATGAATTTTCTTTCCACCGAAGTTGAGTAAAATGAGTACATTTACAATTTTGCAAGCTTTAAGTTACTGCAAAATTGCATTGATTTTTAATATTTTTTATGCTGACGGCTTTTTGCACTTTTTTCTTATGGAAGAAAATGCACAAAACCGTTTTCAAAGAAAATTAAAAAAAAAAAGTTTTGCAATCGCTTAAAACTTGCACTTTACTATATTAAAATTTAATAGGCTACAAAACTGCATACTCAAACAAAATTTGTAAATTTGTAATGTATCTACTCATTTTACTCAACTTTGGTGTAAAAAAAAATTCATAACTCAAATTATTGTAGAGTGCACCCCATAATAGTATACTTAAATATTGCGCAATACTCAGAGCTACTACTGTGATTTTTTAAAATTCTTTTTATGATGACATATTTTCAAAAACTATTTTTTTTTATGAAAAAATGTGTATGTGAAAAATTTTTAATGAAACAAAATTTTGAAATATTTCTTTTCATAGAGAATTTTGATGTGTGTATGTGTTATTTTTTCAAATTTGGAAAACTACCCAACAAGCAAATTAAACTAAAAGAAAGCTTTTTTGAAAGTTTTGTATTATAAACATTAAGCTTACAAAACGTTGATTTTGTGTTTATAAAACGCTTGAAAGTAAGCGTAATATAATCGAAAAGGAACCTTGGTTATAAGCGTATAAATATAAACTTATAATAAATGCTGAAAAGAAAGCTTTTTATAAGCGTAAAAGTGTAAACTTATAATAAAGGTTAAAAAAATTGTTTATAAGCGTATGAATATAAACTTACTAAAATTTTTAAAAATAAAGCTTTTTATAACCCTTTATTTAAAGACATTTCACTAAAAACTCATACATATATTGCTTACCATCTAGAAATTAAAAGAAATGCGAATTTTCGGCGGACTCATTTACAGTCGCGAAAATATAAATAGGGAAGAGACATTTTAGCATTCAAATTCACGATAACATACAAACATTAAGCATAAAAAAGTTGATTATTACATCTTGTTGCGTGCAGCAGCCTTTAATTACATGCGGTTATTGGCAAATTGGAAAAACGACATCGATGCAGCTATATACTCGTATTCCGCTTCATCGCCGCCATTCTCATTGATGCACTTTTCTGAAAAAAATTTAATACATTTTTACTTGAATGTTAAAGTAAGCAAGGATAAGGAGAACTCATCACTATTTAAATTTATAATTTCTTCACACTGTTTTTTTTTTCACTTTTTAAACGCGACATTTCCGCCTATTTTTACCGCATTGGTTTTATATTATTTTTTCTTTTAATAATATATACACGTTACTGACAATTGAAAAAATGTTTTGTTTACTGCTTCATGTCGTTGGCATTTGCATTTCATTTTAAGTGATTTATAAACATTCGCTCTCAACACTTATTAAAGGTTTATTTGAAAAAACTTTTAATAAACTTAATATTAAAAACGCTTATTTAACGCTTATTATAGCAAACTTACTGTAAGTTATTTTTAAAAACATTTACTGAAATGCTTGTTGGGTATTAAATCGATTTGTTTTTGTGCTGTAAAGTTTTTAAAAATGTATTAATCAAGCTCAAATTTCAAATTTGTTTATTATTTATGTTTATGCATCAAGCATAAACATTTGAAACAAATCAAACACATGAAGTATGAACCCAGTCCGTTTTGGTATGGAACACCCCATATGTATGTATGAAAAAAGCAAGCGTACTTCGTTGATATACTTATGAAAATATGTATGTACTTATAGAGAATAACGCAGCAAGAACCCTGCCAGCCAAAAGTAGTGAAAAATCTGGAGAAACCGCGGGTTTCATTCACTTCAAAACTGGTGAAAAATCTGGTGAATTTTGTTTGGGCGGTGTGCAGATTTTCTCCAGTTTCCGCCTGTACGTGTGAGCCTTGCATCACTGTCGCACTCATTCAGATACTTCGTAAGGAAAACATATAGCTGCACTCGTCTAGCATTGCCGCTTCAGCCGGCACAGGGTTGCATTTTCTTCTCAGCGAATTCAAAATAACCTTAAAAACTTTAAATAAAAAATCTAAAATTTTTTTTTTTTTTTTTTTCCAACATTTATTTTTCAAAATGCATTGTTAACCTGATATACATAGTTAGTAATCAATATTATGAATAAAAATTATAAATAACATTAATAATAAAGATATTTTTACATACATATGTGGTTGCTTAATTGCTTATTATTACTACTACTCAGAGTTGGGCAAAATTTATTCGAATGACGAATAACAAATGAATAAATTTTTTTCTTGTTATTCGTAAATAATAAATAATTTTGGTTATTCAAAAAAAAATTATTCGAATGACGGATAAATTATGTTATTCGTTATTCGAATAATTATTATCTTCATTAATTATTCGAATAACGAATAAAATAATAATAAAACAAGTAATTTATGTATATAGATATGTACATATATTTATGTATAAAATGATAACCGTTTTCGTTGTTGTGATTTAACTCAAACCCCTAGATAGATTTAAATCAAATTTTCGGAGGTTATTCCATGCGCATTAAGTCCTATTAAAGGCTACTAAAAAACTCCTTTGTGGCGATGGAGCCGAGTTATTTATAAAAGCCGTATTTATGAACTGATTTCGTTCAAATTCAAAATGTGTTCTTCCTGCATGA